GTGATGGACTTGCGACCTGTCCAGGGTGTACCCTGCCCCTCGCACTGTGACTGCTGGAAATGGGCACCAGTGACCCACGCGACCCTGAAAAGGAAGAAGCGTGTACAGAAAATGGATGGATGGATGGATGGATAAATTAAACATAACTGCAAATTTTCAAGACTTCTTGCGTTTAATTTCAGAATTTATGTTTTCATAGAAATGTGCATTTTTTAGTGGGGGATGAATAAACAAAGTTTCATGAAGGAAACTCGTTTTTCTAATTTTTGCTTTGCTGCAGACTTTAGTGAAATGTTTTAACAACAGCACCCTCTAGTGTCTGATTATCTAATCATTTTAAAAGATTTTTTTTTAATGTGACACATGTTTGGATCTTTCTTTGGATCAAGGGGGCAGCAGCTTGAGCAGGGAGGAACAGACATCTCTTATCTCCCTATAGTTGTCCAAGGAGGCATCCAATCTTTAAGTGAGAACCCAGCTTTCCTGAGGAGAAAACTCAAAAACCTGCCTGCATAAAAATCACAGCACTATGACACCAACAGAACCACATCATTCACATTTAGCAGAGACAGAATCCTGAAGTCCTTCAGCCCCCTGGTAGATCTAAGAAATTCTGTCTATGAACGGAATCGGTGACAAGCTGCTCTTGAAGAGTGACTCCAAGAAACCTGAGTCAGACTCAGTTTGTGTTGGGACTGAATGGCCTGTAGCCTAATGACTGGTCACCTTTTCATGGAGGAGTTTTTGTGCCTGAACGATCCACGGAGCTATGCTGCCTGAGGCAGTTGACTGTGGTAGTGTCTCCCAGGGCAGATTGGTCCATGGTGACAGGCCAAACTCAGAGCTATTCACGATACTTGTATGGACAGAAGACAGCAAGGACCTCGATGTCCTTCGGCTGGACATTTAGGAGCCACACCCTGGAGCCAGTCCTGGAGTACAGGGGCTTGTCCGTGAATGCTTGGTAACTGAGCCTTTACCAATGGAGCTCAGTCAGGCTCAGCCCAAATGAGCGACATGGGTTGGCCTACCACCGGCAGGAGGGGCCATGTGGGTCAGGTGCAAAGGTGACAGCTGAAAACAAGTCTTTGGCACTCTGACACTAGAAACCCCAGATTCAATCATATAACCAGGAATTGCTTGGCTTTGGGGACGTGTTCATGAAGAGAGGGTTTGAATCAACCAGAAACATTGTGAATGTTAACTACTTCAATCATAACATTATCTGTTGGAAAAGGCTCTGCAGGATCAGGGTCAGCATTGAGAGGCTTCAGTCAGGCCACAAAGAATAAAGGATCACAAATTCAACATCCTGAAGACACTGGTGTTGCACCTTCAGTTCTAATATAAATCATCTGTTTTTGTTTAATATGTGTCCTCTTTACCTTTTTGTCAAAATGCTTTTTTTCCCTAAACTGATTTAGATTATTATTTTTCTTATTTCCTCTTCATTTGAAAAAGTACTTCAGGCTAAAACAAGACAATTTATTAAATTAAAGGATTTAAATTTAGAAAATGTTTTGTTGTTTTATGGTTTGCTTGAAATTTTGTACTTTTATGAAAGGGCAGAAAAAACAAATTTCTTTTTTTTTAATCCACTTTATTAATATTTACCTATAAATTGTCTTAAAGCTGAATCAAGTCTGGTTACAGATTCAGATTATACCATCTCAGTCAATAATTTATTCATAATCCATCCAAATATAAACCAAATCCCCATAATCAGAACCAGAGAGGTAAAATTCATGAAATGCATTTTTTTTATCAAAGAAAATTTTATTTTGATCCATTCTCCTGATCTAAATGTGCACAGAGAAAAAACTCCCAACAAAAACATACAATGTATTTGACACTTTCATTTAGTATTACATGAATTGACTGTAAAGACAATCATTTAAAAATAATATAAAAAAATAAACTTTGTATGTATATATACCTTATTAGATAAATTTCTTCAGATTATGCATTATTACAAAGAACCAAAAAATAAAGTTGTTCTTGTTTTGCACCAGAGGGACGTCTGATAACACATGAATCCACAGGTGAACGCATGTCCAAGGTGTTAATACACCTTCACAACAACACATGATGCAACCATTTTCCTTCTTCATGATCCTGTTAAAAAAATCAAAGTGCCACAGCTTATGCATGGGGTGGGCGACATTCTGTCATTGATGTTATTTTACCCAGAGTTCTTCTGTCTCCCACCACTTGCACTGGGTTGAGGGGGCATCCCAGCACAGAGCTGGCCTTCCTGATGAGCTTATCTAACCGCTTCCTCTCAGCTGCAGATAAGCTGCTGCTCCAAAAAACGATGCCATAAAAGATGGCTGAAGCCACAACTGTGTCAAAGAATGTCTTCAGGAGGGCCCCCTGCACTCCAAAAAACCTCAGCCTCCTCAGCAGGTAGAGTCTGCTCTAACCCTTCCTGTAAAGAGCGTCCGTGTTGTGAGTCCAGTCCAGTTTATTGTTCAGGTGAACACCCAGGCACTTATAAGAGTCCACTATCTCAATGTCCACTCCCTGAATGTTCACCGGTGTCAGTGAGGTGGGACTGCTCCTTTGAAAATCCACCACCAACTCCTTGGTTTTAGCAGCGTTGATCAGGAGGTGGTTCTGCTGGCATCAGTCCACAAAGTCCTGAGTCCACTGTCTGTACTCCGAGTCGTCCTCACCTGTGATGAGGCCGACTATAGCAGAGTCCTCAGAGAACATCTGGGGGTGGCAGTGTGGGGTGTTGATGGTGAAGTTAACACCCCACATGCCAGAGTGACCAACCAAAGAAATAATCTACCAAACACAAATTTCATTACTTTTTGTTAAGTATAGAACCTCGAACTGAACTCTGTATTGAACAAGTAGTTTGTTTTTCTCTTTTATATGTGGTACCTTTTTTTAGTTAAAAATCAGATTTCAGAAGCCAAATTTTGTTCTGATGGTTTTGTCTCATCAACATAAATGTTATGTTGCTGATGTGTTTTAAATGATTTAAATGATGTGTTTGTTCCTTATGAGTTTATAAAATCAACACTCTCCTGTGGACTCTGAATCCAAAACAAAAAAGATAACGTTCAGAGAAGCAAGAGGCTCAAATCTCGCATCATACAAAAAGTTGATGGAAGAGGTTTGGGAAAACAGAGGTGTCAAAAAAATCAAAAACAATGAGGTAGAGGAGGGGGTGAAGCAAAAGACATGAGGAATGAGAGGTGAAAATGGAGGGAGGAGATTTGCCAGACATGCAGCAGAGAGGAGCTCAGTAATAAATGCCTTGCACGGTTGACTGAGTGGGAGTAAAGCCGGTCTCCTGTCCTGAATGATGGACCTAGACCGAGCTGAACTCTGCTACCCTCAGCTCCACAATCTGTCCTGCAGAGGTGTGATGCATCCCCGCTCTGAGGCCGTCCTCCTCTACACGCTGCTCTCCTCCATCTGCGTGGTCACCGTGGCTCTCAACCTGCTGGTGATCATCTCCATCTCTTCCTTCAAAGCGCTGCAGACTCCCACCAACACTCTCCTGTTCTCCCTGGCCGTCTCAGACCTCTTGGTGGGGTTGCTGGTGATGCCGGTGGAAACGGTGAGGTTCATAGAGCCCTACTGGCTGCTGGGGGACTTCATGTGTGCCATGATATACATCAGTGGCTTCACGCTCACCTCAGCCTCCGTGGGGAACATGGTGCTCATCTCCATAGATCGTTACGTGGCCATTTGTTGGCCCCTGCAGTACCCCACTAAAGTCACCCACAGTTGAATTCAGGTGTCTGTCAGTCTGTGCTGGTTCTGCTCACCTCTCTACAACGGGCTCATCTTGAAGGAGCATCTCAGGCACCCCGACAGGTACAACACCTGCTACGGGGAGTGTCTGGTGGTGATCAGCTACATCTCTAGGACCATCAACCTCGTGGTCACCTTTGTTGCACCTTGCTCGGTGATCGTCGTCCTGTACGTTCAGGTGTTCGTCGTGGCGGTGTCTCAGGCCCAGGCCAGGCAGTCTCACATCACGGCAGTCGGCTCGGTCAAAGTCACCGCACAGAAATCAGAAAAGAAAGCCGCCAGGACTCTCAGTGTTGTGATTTTGGTGTTTTTGTTGACTTTCTGTCCATATTACTACCAGTCTCTGGCAGGATACATCATTGGAAATGCTGCTTTATCTTGGGCCGTCGTGTCCTGGATGCTGTATTTCAGTTCGGTTTTAAACCCGCTCATATATGCTTTTTTCTACCCGTGGTTTAGGAAAACTATTTATTTAATTGTCAGCCTGAAGATCCTGAAGCATGACCCCTTTCAGGCAAACATTTTTTAAAACCAGCACTGACACGAAAGTAAACCATTGTTCTGGTGGAAATGTTTGATTTACTGGCAATTTATTTTGTATAAATCCTTAATTTATTCGTAAAACACATGCTGTTTCATTAAATTTATACATGATCCTATTTATATTGTGAGTTTTAATCATCTAAAAGCAAATCAATCACTGCTTAGAAAAAAAAACAATATATAATGATAAACATTTAAAGGTTTAAATTCTTAAATGTGAGAATTTGAGTTTAAATCTTATTTGAACATTATCAACACAAAGTCTTAAGTTTTTATCAATATAAATAAAATTGAATAAAAAAGGAAAGTAATTTTATATTCTTTTTAATTACGGTTTGCTTTTTTCTGTTTGTAAAAGCAGCTTTCTTACACCCTCCTAAAAGCATTTATTTTGAAATATGCTTCCAAATTTATGTAAAAAGCCTTTCAATAATCTTCCAAGTATTTTTAAAATGTTACTAAAATATTAATAGTTTTAATTGCATATACAGTATGAATTTAACAAAAGGATACCACTTCTTTCTCTGCTAAATAATTTGTCGTTTTGGCTTTTTTTTAAACAAAACCTAACAAGGACTGAAAGAAAGGGAAACATCTCTGTAATGATAGTAAAATAAAACAAGATCAAACTGCATGCAGCTTTTTGCTTGTTAAAGTGAGTAATGGACAAAATAAGGACACGCTAATTACATAAAATTTGGTTTATTTTGTGCAAAAACAACTACAAAATGTAACATTTTCAACAAGCTGGCAATTAAAACTGTACAATTTGTGCAAGAAAAAACTCAAAAATCAGGAAAGGCTGAAGTCATTTCTTGGACTGAGAAGGGAGACCTCGAAATTCTGCAAAAAAGATACAAAAAAAGACTTGTGGATGTTATGTCATTCTCACACACACCAAAAGAAACTACAGAACATGTCGAAACGTCTGGTTTCAGCAGCAATTAATAATTTTACTGTGAATCTTATAATTTATTCCACTTCTTTAAAACATCAACATAATGGTTGTTCACCAAATATTTAAGTAAAAGATTGTATTTGTTGTAGATGTATTGTAGCATTTATAAAGAAACAATAAATACCTGGGATTTCATGTGGCCAGAAGTCGTTACAAGCTGGACACTGAGGCTCCATACGTCCTTTAAAGTATCTGGCCACACACGGGTTGTGTATCTTTATCCCACATGTGGGATTCTCACAAATTTGGCACTTCGAGAAAAACACAAAACAAAATCAGATTCAACAAGATTGTGACATTCCATGAATGATAAAAGCTTCAAAGTGGCATAAAAAGAACAATCTAAAATAATTTTTTTCTTTAAACATCAATTTGTCAGACTTAAACCTTTTTTCAAACTCAAAAACAAAATGTCAGCAGCATTTTCATTTATAGAGCTGATTTGGTTTAAATTAATTCTGGAATTCTTTAAGATATTTGACAGCTGAACACAAAACTAAGAGCAAAAACGGTAACATTTACCTGAAAAGCGACATTGTGGCAGATGTGGCACATCTTGACTTGGTCTGGATACATGGTGCGAATATATGGCTCCATCTCTATGATGCATCGAGTGGACAGAGTGTACTCCCCACGTTTCTAAGTTTAGAAACAGACTGAATTATACAATAACCACTAAGACTTGGTGGCAGAAACACTGGTTGGATGATTCAGGAGGGAAACTGGTCAAACATTTAACTGAATTCAAAACGTTTTGGAAATAAATTCAGACAAAAATGTTACTCTTGCCTTATACACTCACCGGCCACTTTATTAGGTACACCACGCTAGTAACGGGTTGGACCCCCTTTTGCCTTCAGAACTGCCTCAATTCTTCGTG